TGAAGTAGAGCTTCCATCCACATATACCTTCCAGACTTGGTCTGTAACTTGAGAGTCAGGAGGACGAGTCATCTCAACAATAAAGTCAGCAAAGGCTTGCCCCTTCACTGCTTTTCTAGGCTCGAAAGTGACTTCGAGGCTCTGTATTTCTATGGCCCATTTGATCATTCGGCCTGACGACTCCATGATGGTCAGTGGCCGCTTGATAGGTTGGTCTGTATACACGACGACTGCATGTGCCAAAAAGTAGGGCTTCAATTTTTTAACAGCCATGAAGAGTGCAAGACCAAATTTCTCCACTAAGGGATACCTCAACTCGGCATTTTTCAGTACATGACTGACAAAGTAGACCGGGAGCTGACAGCCGTCTCTTTCAGCAAGGAGAACAGCGCTTAGCGCATGATCAGAGACGGCCAGGTACATGTAGAGTACTTCTTTGGGCAAAGGGCTGACCAGCCTCGGCAAGGAATGCAAGTGAACTTTCAATTTCTGGAAGGCCGCCTCAGCATCCGGCCCCCATTCAAACCTTGCCTTTTTCTTAATTGCCTGGAAAAAGTATAGGCATTTGTCGCCAAATCGGCTTAGAAATCTTCCCAAGGCCGCCAGACAACCTGTTAACTTCTGAACCTCTCGGATGGTACGAGGCGACTGCATGTCGATGACCGCCTGCACCTTCTCAGGGTTCGCCTCTATTCCTCTCTGATTGATAAGGAATCCGAGAAATTTCCCAGACTCAACTCCAAAGACACATTTCTTGGGATTGAGCATGACATGGTGCCGCCTGAGTGTGGCGAAAGTTTCTCGGAGGTCCGACAGATGATCTTTCTGAAGTTTAGACTTGACAATCATATCATCAATATATGCCTCGACATTTCTCCCAATCTCATCAAAAAACACAGTGTTTATCATTCGCTGGAAAGTGGCCGGGGCATTCTTAAGACCAAACGGCATGACCGTTGTAACAGTATAACCCCTGATCAGTGACGAAGGCCGTCTTCTCCTGATCTTTCTCCCATAAAGGAATTTGATGGAAACCAGAGTAGGCGTCCATAAAGCTCATCAAAGCATGGTCGGCTGTTGAGTCGACCAGGTTATCAATTTTAGGCAGAGGGTAACTGTCTTTGGGGCACGCCTTGTTTAAGTCTGTGTAGTCGACACACATTCGCCAGGTGTCATTCGGCTTTTTAACAAGCACCACATTTGCAACCCAGTCTGGGAAGTAACATTGCCGAATGAACCCTGCATCAAGTAATTTTTTAACTTCGGCGGCTGCCGCCTGACTTCTTTCTTCGCCATAGTTCCGCTTCTTCTGTCGTACCGGCTTCTTTTTCGGATCCACGGCCAGTTTATGTACCGCCAGATCAGGACTAATGCCTGGCATTTCATGGACTTCGAATGCAAAGATGTCCTTGTATTCTTTCAATAGTTTGTGAAAATCGTCACCCAGGTCCCTTAGAGCAGTCGTCCCAACCTTGATTGTTCTGTCAGGACGCGAGTCATCTAACATCAGATCCGGAATTCATCCGACCGCTCCTCTGCCAATGATTGCTATTTTCTGTCTTTTCTTGCGGCCCCTGTCTGGGATGCCTTTCTCTTCTTGCCGCCTGCTTCTTGAACAGGCGCACTCTCCTTGACATTGTCAAGGTCTATTTTTCCACCGCTCGACATAGTTGCCATAACAGTGGGCTTGACATCCGAGAGATAGCACTCTCGGGCCATCCTCTGATCTCCCCTTAGGGACCCGACTGTTCCATTATCCCTCTCAAACTTGAGCAACATAAGAGATGGGATTATAACAGCCTTGGAATTATTCAGGGTTGGTCGTCCCAGAATCATGTTGTAGGCCGAGAGTTCTTCTACTACCAGGAACCGGACTACCATGTGTCGTCCTTCCCCTTTTTCACCCAGGCGGATGGGTAAATCCACTCGTCCCACTGGATGGACGACTCCTCCTCCAAACCCTACTAAAGGGTGGGATGTCGGATGTATGCAATCAGTCTGATATTTTAGTTTCGACAGACATTTGCTACTGATGAGATCTGAGAAGCTTCCGGTATCTATGAGGATTCAGCCAACTCTCTGGTTGGCCACTTTACATTCAATAACGATAGGGTCGTCATGCGGCCCTCTTACCCCTCCTAGATCTTCTTCAGTGATGACAATCTCAGGAAATGAATATTTGGAGGGTCGTTCTTGGTGAACGAAATTTACATCTAACCGTCTGATATTGTCTTTGTTGCCCCTAATAATGGGGCCGCCTCCTGAGAAGCCGCCTGCAATGGTGTAGACGACTGCATCATCTGTATCGGAACTGTCGGCCTGCTAATACTTTTTGGCCGACTGCTTTTTCGAGAAAGTGTTCCCCGTAGATTTCTTGACATAAGTGTCAAGATCACCTTGCTCAGCCAGGCGGTCCAGATACCGCTTGAGACTGATGCATTCATTGGTGTGATGACCAACATCTTCATGATAATCACAGAATTTTTCTTGGTTCCGGTTGTTTGCAGAACCCTTCATGGGGACCGGCTTCTCAATTGAGATCCGTCCCTTGATTTCCTTTAGGATAAATTGGCTATCCTTGTTAAACGCATACTTTGGGGAGTATGGTTTGAATTCTTTTTTCTTCTTCTGGGACGGCTGTTTAGAGGAATCAGTTGCCCAGACCTCTTTTCTCTTCTCATCTTTGTTTGACGACTGTTTCTGTCGTCCTTCTCTTTTGTCGGACCTTTTCCCGTCTGACTGTTTTACCGTACTACAAAGATCAGTCGCTTGTATATAGGCTTCCGCTTCAATCAAGGCCTCTTGAAGAGTCGCCACGCTCTTTCGGACCAAATCAAATTTGAAGGTCGACCCGTCTTTGAGACCTCTGAAAAAGTCAGTATAGGCTACTTCATCCGGTAACCCTTGAATCTGTATTCTCATCAGATTAAACCGCCTGATGTAAGAACGAAGCCCCTCCTTCTCGCCCTGCTGAATTGTTCCTGAATCAAGGGTTGTCTTCTTCGCAGGGATGTTCATGGCGAAGTTGGAGGTGAATAAGTAAGCAAGCGTCTTGAAGTTATTTACACAACCAGTCGGCAGGTTGCCGAACCATTGTTGTGCGATTCCTTTGAGAGTCGCTGGGAAACACTTGCACCAAGTGGGATCATCCAACCCTTGAAGGTACATCAGGTTGGTGAATGCCATCAGATGTTCTTCTGGGTTAGTAGTGCCGTCATAGGCGCCTACTAATACATTTTTCACTTTGGCCGGCTGAGCGGCTTCAGTAATTTTCCTTGGAGAAGGCTGACGGCTGTTCGCCAAGTCTAAGCAACCGTAGCTGCCAGTCCATAGGTTGGACGTTTTTTGCTGCATGTCCACCAAAAGGAGGTGGCTGTAAAAAATATTGTTGTTGCGGTACAAACGGTATGTTTGGTACCGCCTGGTCGCTATGATAGCCGGACTGACGGGAGGTGCCGCCTGACTGACTCTCATGATACGACTGAGTATGCCTCATCGAGGTATTTCGCAGACTGTCTTGGAAGTTTGAAGTAGAGGCCGACTCTGACAATCGGTCACTCTTCTTCTGCTCTAGCAGTAGCCGAGCGTCTGTGTATGTTTTCCTCGACCCGTCCGCCTGAATATGACGAACAGGTTTCCTATTTCCTGGAGTAGGAAAACGGTATTTTGTGAAATCAAGGGCAGGTGGCTCCCGCTTCCTAGATTTAGGATGAGGGGTCGCCTCTCGCCCTTGAACTGGCTTCCTCTTCTGTGAAGAGGAGGGTTTCTTAGCCGACTGCTCCTTGTCCAGAGCAGGCGGCTTCTTGTTGATCAACTCTTGAATTTCTCCCTTGAAGTCCCTCATGAAGGTCATGAGTTCGTTCCTTGTGATGGGAGCAGACCCATCAGTCGGTTGTTGCCGAACAGGCGGTGCGCCTGCTGGCTCGCTTCCTGTATGAAGATGTTCCCGTTCCCTCCTTTCGGTATGACGGGTACGTCGGGCCCTTAGGGTCCCGTCTGAAGCTGTGTGAGCTTCAACTTCAAATTCATTCTCAGTATCGTGGTCCGACTGAACTAGAGGGTCGTCCAGGGGACGTCTCTCTTCAGGAGTCGGTACAAACGTGGATGCCATCTCAGAAGTACTCTCCCCACAGACGGCGCCAAGATGTTTCGGGGTTTTCTGATGTCCTGCGGGAGAGTTACAATTCCGAGACTGGAACCGGACGCCTGTACCTGCAAAACAAACGGATGCTCCGGATGATTGGAGATCCGCCTCCGACGGTCAAGTTAGTACTTGATTAAGGAGTAATTAATGCGGAAATTAAAGTGATTGGGTCTCTCTAGGTGAGAGAGTTTAATGTGTGTAATCTGCGTTTTTTTGCGTAATCTTTTCTTAATGAGGATTAAGGGAGGTATTTATAACCTCGGGAAACGTGCCAATATAGGTTTAGGTTAACCTTGGGCTGATTGGGCTTCCCTCGGAAGTTGGGCCTAGGTGACCGGTTATCCCAGGTGTCATGGGAAGGACACGTGTCGTGTCGTAATTGGTCCATAGTGGACGAATCATTGCTTGACACGTGGCAGGCTCCTATTGGCCCATGTGACGGACACATGGCGGAACCTGATTGGTCCACTTGTCAGATGGTGATTGGTGGGGAAAAATCCCCTAATCAATGGGCATACTCTTTTTTTTTTTTTTCTTTTTAACAAAATCGACTCTGTTGATGTTGACATAAGGTTCAACTTACTTGGTGATAAGGACTGTAAACATTCTTTTATAAAGTAATGTTTCCACAAGTAACAGTTTGAAAGACCTGCTTTATAGTATACAAGCTGTAAAAAGATCAACCAGTTGATAACCCACATGAAACACAGACGTAGCTATCTCTAGGGGGGGAGGGAAACAGTACATGCTAATCTCGTATACTGGGGTAGAAATATTGCAAGTTCCCAACACCTAGAATTAGTTTGCATATACAAGTTTTCAGATTTGAGAAGCATTTAGAGTAGATAAAACTAACCAAGTGACATATTACATCACACATTCAAATCTGTGTCTTCCCTGACTCCCTCCAAAACCAGGTACTGAAGTGCTATAGAGTATCTAGCACTCCTTTTTCCTATGCTCTTTCCTTGCACATGCACACTATGTTTAAGAAGAAATGAGCCAGATCCATCACCTTCACCTTTGACCAAAAACAAGAATTATTACATCAAACTCATTCACTGCATTTCTCTCTCTCTCTATCTCCCGGCCTAAAATTCAATGAACCCACCTACCTTGGACTGTAAAAATAGACGAAATCCATCTTTTGTAGATAAATTGTCTAGGAAAGTCTCCATGATACGTATCAGAGAGCAAAAGCTGGCAAGCTGTTGTTTTACTGGTGACAGAATTCCAAAAACATAGGGACTAATGTCATATAGGTGGTAAATCAGTACTTGCAAAGGCAAGCAAAGGAATTTGCAATTAAATTTATTTAGTTGTAAAAGGACTCTTAAAACTCACCTGGCATGGATGATTGCACTATGACAAAGGGCTAAAACTCGGACCATGGCTAAGTCCCTTCCACGAGGATTATTATACTTCATTTGACACTTGCTTTATCCAGTATAAAGGAAATTTTAGTATTATGCAAGTCATGATTAACATGTAATTTTCATCAGGCACCCAAAGTTAAAGCGCCATAAGGCCATTCTTTCTAAAATGTGTAATCAAATGAAGGATGCAAGCTCTGACTTTCAACAAGAGTAAATTAAGTTAGAGAAAGAGAGAGGGAGAAAATTATACCTTTCAAGAAAGAAGTCACCAAAATCATCAATAATAACAGCAATGGGCAATGGATGAAGAAGATGGAAGGCAGCAAAAAATTTCTTGATGCCTTCATCATCATAATCATCTATATACCTGGGAACAGGGAACCACAAAAGCCAGAGACATTAAAAATTAAAAAAGAAAATTATGGAAAAAGAAATGCAAGTCAACCAATGCAAAACTATCATTAGTAATTGAAGCAGTAGTAACTAACTTGATATGAGTTCGCTGAAAGATATGTGAAGAAGCATCAACTCCCTGGAATTGGATAGACACTTTTACTACTCCATAATCAATTATATAAATCAGCAAGTCAGCATGTGTAGGAGAACAGGGGTTTAAGGGGAAGAGAAGAGACCTGAGAGAGGAAAGGAGGTTTGGTTTCAAAACGGCGACGATTGCAGATAAAGACAATGTATCCCTGTGACGTGGACTGACAGTGAGCTGCCATGTTCAAAGCGAACTGAAATAGAAGTGATGTCTTCCCACTGACAAAAAAAAAAAAAAAAAAAAACATTTTTCTTAAAATTTGTTGACTTCTAGATACATACTTAGGAACTTGCATAACTTAAGACTAAGAGAATGAGTACCAGGATGGAGGGCCAGTGAGCAGCGTAATTGGATCAGATGTAAAGCAACAGCCTTCTTGAGGTTGTACAGCAACAGTGGTAACAGAGCTGGTGCTACCGCCATCAAAGAATCGCTCTACCATATGTCTTTCACAAAACCAACTTGCAGTAACACACTCCACTTACTGGGGAATCATCACTCTCTTTTTCTTCTCTATTGTCAAGTCAGCCTATGAGCCAAATTATGAGAAAACGCACTATAGACAAATTGATGCTAAACTTGATCATCCACCTATATGTCCCTAAACCTGAGATAATACATTACGACCCATATATATTGCTAATCTTGGTCTTCAACCAATGAGCCAACCAATAGTAACCATGCAGCACTGTTTAATTCATGCCATACAATAAAAAAACAAAAGTAATCAGAAATTTCAACGTCTGCCAAGAAAAGAAAAAAGATCGTACAAGTAATCATTAACTTCTAAACATCTCTTTTATTACTAATCAACAACAAAATAAGTAAATCCTAAGCCAAAAGGCCTTGCTTCTAATTTAAAGATACTCTTAACAGATCACTTAAGATAACTCAATATCTTACCAACAAGTTCAACAAAAATCAATAATCTATTGCATCCTCACCCCAAAGTGACTCATTCTTGTAATTTCCTTAGAATTGAAAACAATACACAAGTACATTTTCACATCTAAAATGAAATTAAACTTTCAGAATAATCTCAAGTCAAGGATTGTCAAAGATTTACTCCTAAAGTCCTAAATCCAATAGATAAAACTTGAGGGGTATCTAGAGTTCTAGGCCATAAATCATATACAATCATATTAAATATTTTTATAACAACATATGCATTCTTTTTAGAAAAAGAACCAACTTTAGCGATCACACTATACAATTGAAAAAGAAGAAAAAACAAAACTCAAAACATATACAGCACTTCACCAAAATATATAAAAAGGGGATATCAACAAGGGACTGGTAATAATGGATTTGCAAAGCGATTAATTAGACTCGTGGACAGCTACATTGATGATCTTATTATTAGACTAACCCACAGAACATTTAAAAATAGGTCACCAAACTGAACCAAATAAGTAAACATATCATCAAGGATAAACTTTATACACTATCCAATAGGTTCAATGACTTCAATCTATAACTACTCACCTCAATTCTGTAGTAGCTTAATTAGTTCCAAAAGCAGCAGCTTCCCCTTTTTTCATTATACAAAATGCATACAAATTTAATCCCAATTCTTTGCTTTACAATAAGTCCATAACTTTTAATGACTTTGGACGAAAACAGAACAGAACAGAACATATATTCTCAGTAAAGCACAGGCAATTACTTGTCCATACATTAATTCTATAGGAGCGAATTATACAATTCCTGCTACATCCACTAAGATCTTCATCTTCAAGGTTTCACCATTAAGCCATTAATATCGATTATCGAAACCTTGCTCTTCTTTCTCTTCATTCTTTACTCACTATACTAGCACTTGGAATAGTCTATATTTGCTAGAATGTTAAAAATTGATAAGTAATTCAAAAATCTCTTCATCTCAAATTCTCAATCTCCAAAACCCCTATTATCCTATAACCCTCCCTTGCTCAAAGCATTCAAATTAGGCTCAATCATCAAAATTAGGCTCCAAAAATAACATAAAATTCTTCTCGCTTAAGAATATCAACAAAATTGCTCGTTATAATCTTTCATAACTTCAGTAATTATAACCAATAGTTCAATAATCCACATTAGATGAACCCTAAATTGACTATACTGGCAATTAACTAACGATAAACCCTAGAGTATGAAATTAATTGATATTCGACGAAATAAAATAAAAAATAAAAACATCGTACTTCAGAAGCTGCTTCAGTGGAGGAGAGAGAAATCTCAGAAGCCGCTTCAATGGAGCTTCAGAGTAAGCTTCAATGGAGGTGAGAGAGGGGAAGAGTGTACAGTGCCGTGCAGTGCAAAGTGAAAAGGTTCCAAAAAGAGAAAAGGGAAAACTAAGGAGGAAAATAAATGACACGTGTATGTACAGGTGTAAACATTGACTTGATCCGATAATTTTACCCGAAATTGAGTTGGAACTGAATTGGTTTGACCCGTAAACCGTAGATCCAAACCCTTCATTTAACCAACCATTTTAGAGTAATCGAAACTATAAATCGTAGATCCAAACCCTTCATTTAACCGCTTTGCTCTAGGAAAAATGACCAAAGGAAGCTTTTATTGAGAAACAATACTTCATAGTAGATGCGTGGCAAAATTATTTACCAAACTAAGCTTCAAGGGTAAAACGCCATCCAGGGTGGCGTTTTTACCCTAGACAAATTTTTTTAAAAAAATTTTAGCCAAGCCATCCAGGGTGACATTTTTACCTTGACTGAAATTTTAAAAATTTGGCCAAGGTAAAAACGCCAGCCTGGTTGGCGTTTTACCCTGGAACTAAAACATAGCAACAGCACCACACCGGCCACAAACACAGCAACAGCAGCAACAACATCAACATCAACAATAAAAGCAACAACCACAACAGCAACAACAGCAACAACCACAACAATAACAACAACCACAACAATAACAACAACCACAACAACAACATCAGCAGCAACAACAACAACAACAACAACAAAAACAACCAGTTCAATGAAAGGAATGAATGCGTGTGGTGAAGTTGATAATGGACAGAAAATCAATTAAAAAAGTCAGTAATATTGATAATATTTGTTTGGATACAATGTACTAGAGAATCCGATTATAACAAACTAACAAAAGAAATTCTAAGATCCTGATTCATCTATTCGACGTAATTGTTGTCTATCAACTCGCGATCTCCGACGACGATAGTAATGAGATACCATTGTGAAAGGATCTGGGATAGAAGTCTGGGGAGGAGTCTGTTGGCTGGATGATTGTACCTCCTGTGATGAGTATGGCGCAGGCAAGGGTACGGCGAAATCCTCCTGATTGTCAAAAAACTGCGAGGACGCTGTAAGGGACGAGTGAGTCTGTCCCTACTACTCTCGCCTACCTCACAGTGTGAACGCTGCTGTAATTGGTCCCGGCCCTGGATAAGATGACCATGACCATGTCTTTGTAAGCTACTCACAGTCATTGCCTAAATTTCATCTATCTGCGGTATGGTGGGATATGATATGCTCAAGACTCCCAGTGCATCATGTATAGCCAGCATATCAAACGCCTGCATAAGTCAACAATTAGTCAATTTAATAATATCAGAAATTAAAATTGATAAAAAAAAAAAAAAAAAAAAAAATCCATGTAAAACTCACATATCCACTGATGTCTCCAAAAGCTGGCTGATAATGAGTTGAGGGTGGGGTGTAGTTAGGGTTGATGAAGCGTCGGGTAATGCTCCTGTACCATACCATGTATAGATCGTGAAACTCCATCCGGCCATGGAAAGGCGCACCATCCACGACGTGCTACAACCGCTGATCCCACATGTCAATGAAAGGGGCATGCTGAACTGCCCAGCTCACGTCCCCCTTTCCTCGTTGGTGTGTCCTGTGCAAGTGCACACTCGTGTCACACGTGGCGGGGACGGCCTGGCGAAGACCGAACTGTCGCATGACTCTATCGGGGAGGTGAGCCTCCACTACCTCAAAACAGATGAGGACTGTCATGGCACGCCACTCCATCTGATGATCACGTAGATATGGGGGCATGACATCGACTAAGTTAGCGACGTACGTATCCCACGTCATCTGCATTAACACGCCATCAGTAACATCATAATTAACTTATTGAAACAATGAACGGGGTGTTAAATTAGCTTTTATAGTGTAATTGATCACCTGAGACTCGTTTAGTCTGTCGAATGCGTCTCTGTAATACGGTAGACCCCTCGCTGCATGCACACGAGTAAGTCTCCGCACCAGCCACCTAATTATATATAATAACTGCGTTCATGAGAAATTATTAGCAAAATAAAGCAGTATGTGGAAAACTTAACAATAAGTCTTACATAACTGCAACTGTTTCGGGGTTTTCTGATGTCCTGCGGGAGAGTTACAATTCCGAGACTGGAACTGGACGCCTGTACCTGCAAAATAACGGAGACTCCTGTGAGCTCCGCCTCCAACGGTCAAGTTAGTACCTGATTAAGGAGTAATTAATGCGGAAATTAAAGTGATTTGGTCTCTCTAGGTGAGAGTGTTTAATGTAGGTAATCTGCTTTGTTAGCGAGATCAGCCGGTTATTACTGTGTGTAATTAATGTGTTTTTTCCGTAATGTTTATGTTCTCCTTCTGTAATTTTCCTTAATGAGGATTAAGGGAGGTATTTATAACCTTGGGAAACGTGCCCATCCTAGGTTTAGGTAAACCTAGGGCCGATTGGGCTTCCCTCGGAAGTTGGGCCTGGGTGGCCGGTTTCTCCATTAGGCATGGAGTATGCCACATGTCTTGACATAACATGTCCAAGGTGGACGAATAAGCGCGTGCCACGTGGGAAGCCCTGACTGTTCCAACTGGGGGACACTTGGCAGGACCTGATTGGTCCACGTGGCGCATTCCGATTGGTGGGAGCAAAATCCCCTAATCATTTGCCCCTCACAGGTGGCACGTGATTGGTCACGTGTTACCTGTGACAGGTGCCGCACTGTAACAGGCGACGGCCTGCTACAGGTGTCAGTCGGCGAAAGGACGAGAGATTTTCCCGCCCAAATTTTGAATTCTGAAAGTGACCCTTCGCCTTCTCACTTCGCCTATATAAAGGAGAGTTGTCTTGAGTCATTTTCACACTTTGAGAACTTTTTAAGAACATTCGGACCCCTGAACTTGCTCTGACATTTTGGACCTTTTCTGCCTACCGCCTGTTCTGACAAGCCGACTGCACCGGATTTCCAAAACTTCATCAACCGTCACTCGTTCAGGTAACTCAGTTCTCTTACTCTTAATTTTCTTTTTATTTTCTGAAATGGCACCACGGAAGCACACGACACGACCTAGGTTAGTGATCAGCCGGTCACCGGGGACGGCTGAATCTAGGACTAGGAGTGCCGCCTGCCCTTTTCCGGACCCATCTTTGCCCTTTATACAAAGTCCGACTGTATCTGTGTCTATGCAGAGCAGGATGGCCAGAACGAAAAAGACAGCTAGGATCTCAAATTCAGACGGCTCCTCCCACAGGGTGCCGCTTAGTGAAACATCTGACCAGGCGCCAGATGTGGAAGTGAAACAAGGCGGCCTGGATGCCGGCGATTCTTTGGGGGGAGTCATAGTGACCCCCTCCCATTTAATAGTTAACAAATCTGCTCCTTTTCAAAGAGAGGAGGCGGGCCCCTCCGGGAGAGGGGAGGAGTCGTCCTCTTCAAACTCGTCGGAGGACGATTCCGAGTCAAGCTCTTCTGGCCATGCTTCTTTGGGTACAGAAGAGAAAAACAGCCGCCTGCAAGAGGCGAGACTTTCTCACGCAGTTGAGAAGGGGGACAATTGGGCGGAACCATCCGCCTCTTACCGAGAGCTAAATACCCCCTACTACTGCACGGTACCTCGGGGCCGAATCACAGCCATGCAAGAGAAAGTGGAGAGCTTTATTGCAAACCACACCATGGCCCCCGACTTTCTAGTGTTTGTGCCGGATCCAGACGACTCTCGTCTGGCCGGCTGGTTCCAGTTATGAAAGCGCCTGCTTTGGCTGCTACGAGGCGGCCATCAAGGCAGGGCTTCGCTTCCCATTACATCCGGCTGTTCAGCGGATTTTGGATGGGTATGAGTTGGGGTTATGGCAGTTAGCCCCAAACTCCTGGGTCAACGTACTCGGCTATGTGGCCGGGTGCGAACTGCACGGGGTGGAGCCGAGCTTCGAGGCTTTCGCCCATATGAACTATCTCAGCCGGACCCCTAAGACAGGCGGTACCGGCTGGTATCAATTGACAAGCCACAGGGGCTACCTCATGACAAGAGGTAAAGCAAACAAGTGGAAGGACTGGCGGAGCACCTTCCTCATCATTGAGAGTTCAGACATTGAGCAGAACAAGCGCTTCAATAGGTGGAACAGGAATCCGCCCCTTGTTGCAGGCGGCCGTAGCATGCCGCTTGTTCCCCCCAAGGCTAAGAAAGAGATCCTTGATAAAGGACTCTTTAAAGTAGAGTCGAGGGTCGACTCTACTTCAGGGGTACGAGAGCAAGTACCCCTGCACTGCGTCCCGAGCTTCAAGTGGCTCTATGACGAGTACTTTTTGGCCGCCTGCGGCCTCAGCAGTCGGTGCTCAAGAGGTAGTCGGCCTGTCGAATACTCTATTGTTCCATACATTTGTTGTTTATCTTTTATTAACTTTGCTGTTTGTTTTTGCAGCTGACGCAATGAGAAAAATCACCGCCTCCAAGACTGCGGCGGCCATGTTGCGGGCCTCTATTATGCAACAAGCTTCAACCGACTCCCCCAAGAAGGGGCACCCTTGGTGAGCTCCGAACCTTTCACCCTCTTTTTGGAGTGTTTATGCATATACTGACTTTTTTCTTATTTTTTTAGACGGGTGCTCCAAGAGCTTCATCTTCCCAACAGCCGGACCCCAAGGCCCGGAAGACGACTGTTGGGAGCTCTCCTGGTTCTGCCAGGAAACAGGTGGCGGCTGAGAAACAGCCGACCACTTCTTCTAAATCTCCAACTGGGCCGCCTAGAGGTATGAAGTTGTCCTTGTAAATTTTAGACTTGCTCCCTTTGTTACTAAGTCTAATCCGTTTGTTTATGCTTGATGCAGCCGACCCCCAAGAGCCTAACTTGGTAGAGATGGCCAAGTCTATGATCAGGGCAGTTCCTCCAGCTGAAAGGGAGGCGGTCAGGGGTGTCGGCACCCT